AACATGACTCTTGTTAGGCTCTTAAGAGCCTAACAAGAGTCATGTTGGCCTCATAAATGACTAAATTCGGATACTAATTTTAGGTTGTTTTTGAGCCTTGTCGACCTTATTCTTTGACTCTTATTGAACTACAAATACCGTACATATATGTATGTGCATGTATGTACATATGTATAACATACCTAAGGGCATATAAACATTCCAATATACATTTAATAGCAGCAGCTGCAGCTAAATTTAGTTTATTTTTTGTTTCCTACATAATTATTTTCAATTTCTGTATATGTATGTAAACAAGTTTAGAAATAAAATTCGAATCTTTATTGTTTTTATATTGGCACAAAGTGCTCGCTTATAACTTGGATCATATATAACTCCTAAAAGATTCATATAAGAGTCACACATTTTTGGTTTTAAAGCTCATATTTCTTACCCACCTAGGACTCCTTTCGGACTCATATATTCTCAGAATATGTTTGCGGGGTAGAACTATTCCCAAGCTATGTATATATATATATACCCATATACGTACCTGCATATATCAATTTGGTAATCCATGCGAAGATAAGCCTCGGTAATGCTTACTACAGTATGTAGTTGGATGTATTTAGTTGGAAGCAGATGAAGTATATTATTTCAGAGTATTGGCATGTGTCTTCATCTTGTTGAATCCACATTCCGTCCAAATCAAAATCCCTAAATTCGGACCAAAAAAACGTCATTGATCAGGGCGCTATGGCGCTAAGAATTGACGGTACCAGTGGACAGTGCTTAAAAATTGACATTTTGAGTTCACAATTCACTGGAGCCTTAATTTTTCACTAAATTTGATTCATTATTTTTTTTTAATGAAAGCTAATAAAATTTTCAAGAGACTAGTTGAGTCTGATTTTTGAATTTTTGTCTGTTTGTATTAATTTGTTTACTGCAAAATGCCAAAAAAGTAGCAATTTTGAGGAAACTCACTTCTCCGGTTCCAGTTAATAAATGTTACATAGTAAAAACTAGTTGAAAACAATTGTAGGGTTCTCCCAAACCGAACAAAAATTAAAAACGACGAAATATGAAATGTACAAAAAAAAATATTTATCTATCAAAATTATTATTTTTTTGTTTTCGGTTTTTATAAAAATTTTGGGTGTACAGTTTTATAGACCATTAAATTTTAACAAAGGCTTTTATTTCCCATTTAGCGTTCAGATGCGCTCGAAATGTTTGCGAAAATATTATTAAAAATCAACGCGACCTCTTAGCCAATTGTAAATTGCGCTTTATTTTACTAAAATTTAATGATCTATAAAACTGCATACCCAAAATTTTTCTAGAAACTCAATCATTTTTTTTTTTAATTTTGATGAACATTTTTTATAAAACATTTCATTTCTTTTTATATTTTTTTTCGCTTCGGGGGCACCCTACAATTGTTTTCAAATCGTTTTTATTATGTAACATTTATTAACTAGAACAGGAGAATCCATTTTCTCCAAAAGTGCTACTAAAATATTTAATACAAACAAACAAAAATTCAAAAATCGGGCTCAACTAGTCACTTGCAAATTCTATTAGCTTTCATTAAAAAAAATAATGAAATTTAATAAAAAGTGAGGGCTCTAGTGAATTGTGAACACTAGGTTTTGTGAATTCTAGTTTTGAACCACTGTGCAGCAGCTTCTTCGTTGCTCTCGCAGTACAGACAACCACTTTTTGTGGATAAAATGTCTCTATGCGAACACTTGCGGCTGTTCACTGCTCACGATTCGGCAATTTGGCTTTTTAACATATCTTCTGAGCGTGAGAAGGTCCCCAACACCGAGTGAGATTTTCTTCGAAATGCCTGACAATGTATCCAACGAAGCTTCAGCACTCTTAAATGTACTTTGCGATTGTAAAACGTTGTGAACTGACAAACTTTCAACTAAGCAAATACCCGTTTGAAAGAAAGTGATGCCTGTCAAATGGCAGGTGAGAGGGCTTTACTTCCCAAGTGCGAAATAGATAACTCGTTATTTTGAAGAGATTTTCATTTTAGAGAATATTAATTCCTACTCCAAAGAGTTTAGCTTTAAGAAAATGCCGAATATTTATTCCTACTCCAAAGAGTTTAACTTTAAGAAAATGCATTTTAAAATTAAAAGTCACTCATACGACCTGCCATCCGAGAAGTGAACTACGAAATGACTGTTTATTAATATTTGTATAATGCTTATAATCGGCTTCGAAGTTTTAGGCACAGGTACTAAAGCAATTTCTATGCGAAGAGCTTTGTCATTGGTGTGGGAATAGCGCGGTTCGTTTAGATTGAAACTACTGGGAGCAGCACCCTTTCCTCACATAGGCCGAGAATAGTAGCGCTATGATACCATATCAAATTACTATCCCCGTTCAACGCCTAGTTTTATGTAATGTAAGCCAATTAGGTAGTGGTCCGTGAAAGGCTTGAGATTTGTGTTTTTTCTTAAAAGTGCCCCCCCCCCCCGTGTTCATTGGCTTATTGAGCTGTGTCATCCTTAAATATTTTTCTAAGTGGACTACTGACACACCTACTGTATCCACGATCACCTACTTCCTTCCTACCTTCCCTTGCTAATTCGTCGCTTTTGCAATTATATGACATGTTCCGAAAATTTAATACTTATAAGATTTATTAAACCAGTTTTTACCTTTTTCAGCGACTCAGCAAATCGTCCCAGAATGGAGCGTGGATTGCACGATCGCGATCGCGCGGGCGTACAAGATTTTGTGCTGCTCGAGAATATTCAAAGTGAAGAGGCATTCATTGGAAATTTACGCAAACGTTTTCAAGAAAATCTAATCTATGTAAGTGGGCAAATAGCCAGAATTACATATTTACTTAGCAATCGAAAAGAAGCAAAATTTTTTTATGAATTGCAATGAAAACACAGGCAAAAAAACATGCTGAATTATTACAATAATTGTGGTCATTAAGTTATTGTTGATTCTTTTGCCTTTTATTTCCAAATTATATAAATTAAAAAGAAAAAAAATTAAAAGCTCTTCAGTTATTTGCAAATATTTTTTAATGTTACTCCATATGTGTGTGTTGTTTTTTTTTCAATATTTTTCTTTCAGACTTATATTGGTCAAGTACTTATTTCAGTTAACCCTTATAAACAACTGCCAATCTATAGTGAAAATGATATCAAAGAGTATCGTAACAAACACTTCTATGAGATGCCGCCACACATGTAAGTAAATTTGGGTTTTTTGGTTTTTATCGCGGTTGTAAATTTTTGATATCAATCAAAAAATAATAAATATGTTCTTGGTACAATAATATCTACAATATAAGCGGCATTGAGACGATATATTTTTATGGGTTGTAGCTGGTTTTACAACCTACGGTGGCGGACAAACAAATAGGGACACGACATTTTAACAAGTTTTAGCTATTTTTCTTTTTTTATTTAATATTTATTATTTTTTTTTTAAGTTTAGCTCACTATCTTACAAAAACCACGCAAGTCAAAATTCAAACAATGTACAAGATTTAAAAAAATGCAACGAATTTTAACAAATGCTCATCAAAGTTTCAAACTTGTTATTCAGAATGTTTTTTAGCTACAGTTTTGTAGCCCCTTAAATTTTATTATAATACAGTGCAAGTTCGAAGTAACTAGGACTTACCGTAGATTTTTGGCAATTTTTTTTTCTCCATATAAAAAAATTTTCGAACATGCTACACTTTCTATGGAAGAAAATGCGTTTCATCGTCAACGTGAGTCCTAGTTAATTCAAACTTGCACTTCATTTTACTAAACTTTAATGGGCTACAAAACTGCTTACCTAGACTTTTTTTATTCTTAATAAAAAGTTTTAAAATTTCATGAAGCTTTGTCGAGCTTTCCTAATGTTTGTACAAAGTTTGAAATTTCATAAAAAAATAATAAACATTAAATAAAAACAACTTGTTAATATGCCGCGTCCAAATTTATTTTCCCGCTACTGTACAATCCACAAAGTTCGAAAATCCTTTGCCGAAGATAAAGATTTTTTTGTCTTTCTAGTGAGGAAAAATAATGATCTCTTCGAATCGAATGCCAACTATAATAGTTATCTTGAGTCAAAAAATATTGTTTTACCTAATTTACCTTTTCTCTGTCCTTTTAACAGATTTGCCGTAACAGACAATGCTTTCCGCTCATTGATCGAAGAGAATAAAGGCCAATGTGTTTTAATTTCCGGTAAGCATGATTAAAAATAATGAAAACTAAGTATGTATTAAGATTAGCATAAACCATTTCATTTGGAGCTAAGCCGGGTACTTTGGTAATGTTATCAAAATAAGCGGTCTGCCTACAAAGAACAAGGTTAACACTTAAGAAGCGCTAATTGAACAAAGAAATACTATCTCGCTTTCATTCTTGTTCCCTCCTTAACACCATTACAAAATGCACTTATGTGGATGTAGTGTCAATCCTACCAAGACCAAGATGGTACTCTTTGCACGGAAGTATAAAATTCCTCTATTCCAATATCCAACCGTAAATCGAATAGAACTAACTCTCAACCGAGGTCAAATATCTTGAAATTATTCTGAGACAAGAAACTTGACTGGAAACGAAACATCGAAGAGCGCTCCAGGAAGGCAAATACGGGCCCGTGTGCCTGTAAGACGACTATAGACAAAAAATGGAGGATAAAACCACATACTTATGTATATAAAGCATAAACAGACGGCAGTTTTGATCCGGATCAACTCGGGGAATTAACTGCAGTTGATCCGGATTAAGTCCGAGTTAATCCAGATAAACGCTGCCGTCTGTTTAAGCTTTACACAGCTGTGTTAAGACCTATCCTCGATTAAGGGGTCACCGTATAGTGATCTCCGTTAAACAAGACTTTGTCCAGAGCCAAGATGGAACGGGTAGAGAGGACGGCTTCCATGCTTGTCACGGGAGCACTACCTACTACACCCACCAAATCTCTAGAAGTACAGTGGAACCGACTGCAGTGCTTTTAGGTTGAATGCGATCCAACCATGGAGAGACCTGAGGTTCGAACACGCAACGGTACTCGAAACCCTAAAGTATAATCTACGGGAAGAAAATTGGGTCATAATGAAGCAACTCAATAATACTTGTACTCTTTAATTAAAGAGCTTAGGTTAGGCTTTCCTGGTTTTTCGTGTATATTTTTGTCAGTTCTTCCGTTATCTCCTGTAATATTCGGTTTGGAGGTAAACCGATCTTCCTTTGCACCAGTGAAGTGCGGTAGTTGCATCCAACCAGCGTAGGTGTGTCGAATTATTCCAGAAGAGGCGACTCAACCGCCTCTACTCTAGCATTTAACATAATGCTCAGCGTTTGTACCCGTATATATTGCAAATTAGGTTGCCGTAGACCGCTCCGCCATCAGGCTAAGAGCTACTGAAGTTCTCCTTTAATCTGGCGCTTGGATATTCGACGATCTTTGGAGACTTGGACTTTATACCAAAGCTGATCCGAATAGATCACTTGACGATCTTTAGTAACTTGGATTTTATTCTAAAGCTTACCAGTACGTGCCATCCTGGTTTCGGATGGATAATTTGACGATCTATGGAAACTTGGAATTTTTACCTAGGCTTCTTGGTACGTGCCGATCCTGGCTCGGAGTAGACCCAAAAGAATTAGAGGATGAGAGGAAGAAAATGAACTCCAGTAAACGTATTCGCGTTGACGGAGGTACGTCCTGTCAGGAACAGGGTAACTGCAGCCTGTTTCAAGCAGGTGAGGTCGCGATGTAGTAGGCAGTCGAAAGAGCTTCTTAAGGTGGTCCAGCGCCAAGTCACGGTGCATGCAGAAGTTCTAACAGGACTGTTCAATAGGAACTCATACGAGGACGATAAATTAGAATCTGGAATCAAGGAACTATCTAAGATGGACATCAACGCCTGTGAACCTTCATTTTAAGCAGGCACCTTTCTCATTATCTTACAGTCTTATGCATTCCACTCGCAGTTAGCATTAGGGAAAACATCTTTATACAAATAAATAAATACAAAAATTGTATATATTGCTTTCGAAAGCTGGTAACAAAACTATGTGTTTGACCAATTATAAAAGCACACGTTTTTCTAGGCCAATGAAAGTTGCAATAAATTTATGCTGATAAGATTCGTTCACCTGGAACCTGGCTATAGATTTCAGTTAAAGAAATAAAATCGACATAAATTCTAATAAAAAATCACTTCAATGTCCGATAATTTGTTAACATTCCAAATACATATAAATATATATGTATACGACTATGGGTAGATAAAGACTATACAAGAGTAATAATTATTATGATATTACGTGCCTAAATTTTTAGCTGCGAGTAAATATAATCATCAGTCATAATTATTGCTGTTAAACCCACTAGCAATTATGTTTTTCCATCACTCAGTAATAACCTTATCTTTTCGCAGGTGAGAGCGGTTCGGGTAAAACTGAGGCCTCCAAGAAGGTGCTGCAATATATCGCCGCCTGCTCTGGCCATCAATCGACTGTTGAGAGCGTCAAGGAGAAATTGCTGAAGAGTAATCCCGTACTGGAGGCATTCGGCAATGCAAAAACGAATCGGAATGTAAACTCTTCACGCTTCGGCAAATATATGGACATACAGTTTGACTACTCCGGCACACCAATTGGCGGACACATACTCAATTATTTGCTGGAAAAGTCGCGTGTTGTCAATCAAAATGCCGGTGAACGTAATTTCCACATCTTTTATCAACTCTTGGCTGGTGCTAGCGAAGAAGAGTTGAAACGGCTGCAGTTGAAGCGTTCATTGGATAGCTACTCTTACCTGAGTGATGGGGTGAGTGTGAGAATACAACCATTGTTTCTAATAAAAATACCTTTTATAAAAGCGAAAAGCAACTTTTAATCCTTCTTAATTCCACTAGCAAAACGGCGTTGTTAAATACATTGACGATGTTGCCGATTTCAACACCGTCAAACAGGCCATGAGTGTCATCGATTTCACAGAGTCTGAGCAAAAAGATATGTTCAGCATTATCGCAAGCGTTTTGCATTTAGGCAATGTGACTTTCAATGAAGCAGAAGGCGTTGCTAAGGTCTCCAAACCCGACGCCGTTGCAGCGGTGGCCCAATTGCTCGGCGTCAGTCAAAACGCACTCACCGATGCGCTCACCAATCGCACAATTGACGCACAAGGTGATGTCGTCACTTCGCCATTGAATCGCGAGCTGTCCGTTTATGCGCGCGATGCGCTCGCCAAGGCTATCTACGATCGCTTATTCACCTGGCTCGTACAACGGTTAAATCGCTCGCTGCAGGCAAAGGATCTGCGTGATGCGCTGAACAATGTCATGGGTATTTTGGATATTTATGGCTTTGAAATTTTCAAGAAGAATAGCTTTGAACAATTCTGCATTAACTTCTGCAACGAGAAGCTGCAACAGCTGTTCATAGAGCTGACACTTAAATCCGAGCAAGATGAATATCAGCGCGAAGGCATTGAATGGGTGCCCGTTGAATATTTCGACAACAAGGTGATTTGCAATTTGATTGAAGAGAAGTACAAGGGCATCATTTCCATACTCGACGAAGAGTGCTTGCGCCCAGGCGAACCCACCGATATCACTTTCTTGGCAAAACTCACCGATAAGCTGGCTGCGCATCCGCACTACATTTGCCATGAGAAATCATCGACGTTGGTGCAGAAGACTATGGGACGCGATGAGTTCCGGTTGGTGCACTATGCTGGCGATGTCACTTATAATGTCAATGGCTTTCTGGACAAGAACAACGATCTGTTATTCAGAGACTTGAAGGAGACCATGAGTAGGGCGGGTAACGATATCATACGCTCTTGCTTCCCGGAGGGCGAGTACAAGAACAAAAAACGTCCAGATACTGCGATTACACAGTTCAGAAATTCATTGAACAACCTCATGGATATCCTTATGTGCAAAGAACCGTCCTACATACGCTGCATCAAGCCGAATGATCAGCAGCAGGCGGGCATCTTTGACGACGAATTGGTGCTGCATCAAGTGAAGTACTTGGGTCTGATAGAGAATTTGAGAGTACGTCGTGCGGGCTTCGCGTATCGCAGGTACATAGGTTGCAATTGTGAATTACATACTGATTTTTTTGCAGAATGTTGTCTTAATGGGTTTAATATGAAAAGTAAAGAATATCGATAAATTTTCAAATTACATATAATATAGTACTCGATAACGATAAAAAAAATTAGAAACACCAAAAATAACAACAATGAAATGATATTAATATCAATATTTATCGCAAATCGATGACGATAATAATAGGTAATCGATATAAATAGGATTTATAAAGCTTAAAGTACTACTTTGATTGAAAATAAATATTTGCAACAAATCGATAACAGTATTAATCGGTAATCGATAAAGAAAGTATAAAAAAAAATCAATATTTATGGCAAATCTATTACATTCGATAACTGCATTAATCGGTAATCGATAACAATAATAAGATTCATAGTGATCGGAGAATAAATAGATAATGTTAGGTAAACCGCTTGGGTATAGTAATAAGGATAACGATAGTTATGCCGATAACACCGGCGATAATAATAAAAAATTTCAATAACGGTAGTAAATCGATGAAAGTGTCATTATGATTAAAAATAAATATTCATAAATCGATAACGACAATTATCGGCAATTGATAACAATAATAATAATGAGTAACTAAAAACCTAAGCCGATATTTTTTCGGATAAAACAAAAAAGAACCGATAACGACCATTGGCTATAACAAACCAATTTCTGTAGAAGCAATCGATAATTATAAAAACTCGATTGCTCTTATACGATCGCTTAAGCGATAACTTAAATGTCCGATACCAAAACGATAACAAAAACACTAACTTTGCCAAACTCATAGATAATATTTAACATCGATATCGATTAAAAACAACAAAAACAAAACATTTCAATTCTCCCCACAGAACTTACGAAACATTCCTCAACCGCTACAAGTCCCTCAGCAAAGCCACCTGGCCGAACTACAAAGGCTCGCCCAAGGAAGGTGTACGCGAACTCGTCGCCGATTTACAGTATGGTCCCGATGACTACCGCTTAGGTGCTACGAAAGTTTTCATACGCTTCCCCAAAACGCTCTTTGACACCGAGGATGCCTTCCAAGTGAAAAAACACGATATTGCTGCCATAATACAATCGCGTTGGAAGGGACGCCAACAGCGGAGGAAGTACCTCAAATTACGCGACCAAATCATCACATTACAATCATATTGCCGCCGATATCTGGCCATACAGGCACTACGGCGTCGTCGTGAAGCCGCCACCAAGATACGCGCCTTCATCAAGGGTTTCATCACACGCAACGATGCACCGAATGGCTACAATGATGAATTCATTGTCAACATGAAACGCATGTGGCTTATACGCCTGTCCAAGCAGCTACCAACCGAAGTATTGGACAAGAGTTGGCCCTCGTCCCCGGTACACTGTCAGGAAGCATCTACCTACCTTCATCGCTTGCACCGCCTGCATTTGGCGCGCAAATACCGGCTGAGTTTGTCCGATGAACGCAAACGGCAATTCGAGTTGAAGGTGCTGGCCGAAAAGCTCTTCAAAGACAAGAAGGCCAACTATTTGGCCAGCGTGCTATATTGGTTCCAAAATGATCGTATACCTAAAGAGCATGCGGCCGAAATCAATAACTTCGTTGGCACTTCGCTGAACGGCGAGACTCTGAAATATGCATCGCCATGCACGAAATTCGATCGTCACGGTTACAAGCCGCGGGAACGTTTTATGGTGCTTAGCAACAAGGCACTCTACGTACTGGACGGCAAGAGTTACAAGCAGAAACATCGTTTGCCGCTGGAAAAGATCGATTTTGTTACCACAAATCATAGCGATAGCCTGCTGGTCATACGCATACCACTCGAGCTGAAGAAAGATAAGGGCGATTTGATACTTGAGATACCTTACATCGTTGAGCTCGGCACGCTAGTCGTGGACACTGTCGGCACCGCCAACATACTTAGCATCGTCAGTCGAGACACGTGAGTATTTGGCGTTAATGTCTCTGAATACATATACATACTTATGTATGTACTACTATAATGTTATGCAATTTTTCAGTTTGGAACACAATGTAGTTAAAGGCAAGGCTGGCGTTATCGATATTCAAACCGGCGGCGAACCAGGCATCGTACGCGATAAGGGTGGTCACCTTGTTGTTGTGAGTATGACTTGAAATATCAAAAAATCCTTAAATTATTTTAATTAACAACCATTAAAATTTTATAATTATTTTGTTCTGTATTCCATTTATTCCTTCGCAGATTGCTGGACAATAAATATGAGATAGAAGTGCTTACTACCTTTAACCAGAAATCAGGGCTTTAAAGACAACGGATGTATTTTTTATATAAATATTTTGTTATACTTGTTATCTGAACTTTGCAGCAGATTATTTCGAGAATTTATAAAAACCAATGTAACTACCCTGCAAACCAAAGTTCCCAAAATGTTAACGAAATCTTTAGGAGTATCTCATATCTTTAAGGATTTTTTTACGAATCTTCAAAGAAAGTTATATGGAGTGGTTGACACGAACTCGTCAAAAAATTTCTGTACGAAAAATTAAGAAAAAAGAAGAAAACAATGCTGCGACAGATTCTTCACATTGCAGAATTATTTTCATTGTTTTACCGATTTTCTTCCGAAATTTCTCTACAACTCAGAATACTCTGAAAAAATGATTTGCAGGGTATCTACTTCTACTAAAAAAAAATCTTATTGTATTGTATGTATGTATTAATGTATGCAAAAAGTATTTACTAAAAAGCTATAATTTATTTCATATAATAAATAAATGATTGTACTATAATAAATACATTTAGGGTGGATCATTCTTCATACAACAAAAATCGGTACTGTCATTCCATCGGAAAAATATTAGGCGGAAAAATATGAGTTGGACCATTTTAGAATTCTCGCAAAATCAAGTTTTTTGTAAATAAAATTAGTTTTTAAAATCAACGAGATTTTTGGGGGTATTTTTGATCGTTCCAGCACGTGTGAGTCTTAATATTTTTACGAAATATGCATTTTGGCCGCAGTCTTAAACAATAAATACATTTTATAATTTTGGTGAAAAAAAAACATATGCTTTTTCGGTGTTTCACCCTAATGCATTTATTTTTTAATATATCAATCTTTAGCCAAAAATTTTTGGATAAAAACTGCAATTTTAAATGTAAATCATCTCGAAATCTCCTGGAGTCGGGTCTCTCAGCTCTAAATCTTGCGCTAGGCAGGCTGGTGTAGATTTCCAAGCCATCGTATTAAAGTAGATGCTGGCTGTGATTAGAAATACAAAATCCCTGAGCAAATTATAATTTGAGGTTATCTGGTTATGTGGTTATGGGGTCAACTCACTGTTAGGTGCAGTTGTATGCTCTTTAGCGCCGGGAACTGCTTAGATGGCATGAAGTTGTGCCATAAACGAACCTGTCACATTTCTTAACTTCTACACTGGATCTATAATTCAATAAATACGTACATAGTTTACTTGATGGAATCCCTTTATGCCAGTGCCACTTTCTCTTCATTCCTGAGCTCATCTTGCATGAATAGCTGTATTCTGGCATTTTTACAGATTTTTTTCTGCTGCGTATCGCTCGTCCCTGCTGTCGACACTGGCGCTGCATATCGATTTTCTTGTAGGTTGCGAGCAGGGTCTCCTTTTCGGCTCTCAGGTTCTGCAGGCGACTTGAGACATTTTTTTTCTGGCACGCAGTTCGTTGCAGCTGCCTGAGGCGTGCGCGGAGAATAATAACAGGCTAACGAACGTCACTCCCAGGATTTCGGGGTGAATGGTCAGCGGGATTTTGGTGCCTTCGACAAAAACGTCTACCTCGAGCCTGATCTCCTTGGTCTATGTTTGAAAGAGTGTGGGGGTAGATTTTGAGGTTCCTTGCAGTGGAGAAGGTCGAAAGATCGGTGAGATAGTCGGATAAATTTTCGCAAAGGCTGTCGATGTTTGGGCCCGTCACCATTATTATGCAATCAACGGCCTTGCTTACCAAGCTGACGGCGGAGGGAATTTTACCATGTAGAGATTAAACAGTGCCTTGAGAGACCCCCTGTTTAATTCCATGTGGCTTGGACTTGGCGTTGCGAAATTCGACTGATGATTGGGGACCACACAGATAGCTGATTATCTACCATTTCGTCCAGGCTGGAAACGACAAATCCAAGACGTCTTGACAGAAGGTCGCGTAGTTCACCATGTCGAATGCCTTCGACAGATCAATTGCGACTATGACCGTCCTATCACAAGGTCGACGTTGGTTCAGATCCTCGCTAATCTCTATGGTGATGGCGTTAAATGCTGTGGTCTTGCTAATAATGTTCGGCAATTTGTGTTCGGCTAGCTTGAAATGCTTCGTCAGGGTGGGGAGGAGTAGTGCATCCATAGGTTTAGCCGCAGTGGATAGGAGGGAGATGGCTCTGTAAGAGTCTGCTGCGTCCGCTCCTTCGCTTATGATGGGTAATCATGCCACTTATTTTCCACATCTCGAGGATGATAAGGGTGGACAGTGACATGTTGAAAGCCGCAGCGATGTACTTGACTCCCGCATCTCCTCAGCATCTTCTTCAGCATCAGCATGGAGATTCCGTCTGGGCCTAATACCTTGGATGATTCAGCCTTGTTGACAGCTGTCTGCGTCTCTTCTGAAGTGGAGTTCGTATGATTTACGCAACACACTGCGACTGGTTTTGTCTCTCTCTGGGTGTGCAATGAATTTCCGGCTGAATTTCCGAACGAACATGAATTCAACGTTGTGGTGGTGCCAGCCAGGTAAGGGCAACATTGTCGGATTAGAGAGAGACTGTCGGCCCACTTTCCGGACGCCATTCCCACTGCCGGTGATACGTTGTTCCGGGCGTTCAGGCCATCCCCACCGGACTGGAAGCTGGCTAAAAGCCTTATTAACCGGCAAACATTGCGGTGGGCTCTGGACTCCTTCGAACGGTACAGGGCCCCTGGGGTGGATGGTGTATGTCCGGCGCAGCTGAAGCAGGGCGGGGAGCTCTTACTTCCACATCTTGTGGACATTATGAGGGACAGTCTAGCACAGGCTCACATTCCCAAGGTGTGGCAGAGGGTCAGGGTTATCTTTATCCCGAAGGTAGGCAAGAGGGATTACTCTCTTGCCAAGTCATTCAGGCCGATAAGTCTCACATACTTTATGTTAAAGGCAATGGAGAAAATTATTGAACATGAAATCAGGTTTAACACTCTAAAACAAACCCCTCTGCATTCCCTCCAACACGCGTACAGATCCACTGATACTGCGCTGAATGCCCTAACGGAGGAAATACAAGGGGCCTTTGAGTGTGATGAGGTGGTGCTCTGTGCCTTCCTCGATATCGAGGGGGCCTTCGATAACGCCTCCCATTTGGGAGTCGACAGAGCTCTTGCGAAACATAACGTTCAGCCAACCATCCGAAGATGGATAACAAGATTACTTCAGACCAGGATTGCCGGAACTGAAGTCGGTGATAGCGTCGTTCAAATACAAACGACGAAAGGGTGCCCACAAGGGGGGTATTATCTCCTCTACTGTGGAGCTTAGTTGTGGACGAACTCCTACAGATACTTACTAACGAGGGCATAGTGATTATCGCTAGAGGGAAGTTCACAAGTACTCTCTGTGACATCGTCCAAAGAGGACTTAACCTTGCAAAAAGGTGGTGCGCAGACGTAGGTTTAAATATCAACCCTTTTAAGACAGCCATAGTCCCCTTCACCAAGAAACGTAATCTCCAGGGGATGAGGAACTTGACCTTGGACGGGGTCGTAATCAGTGTCGCCACAGAGGTTAAGTATCTGGGGCTTATCCTGGACTCCAAGTTTCTGTGCAGCGCCCATGTTGATGCGGTCACCTCTAAGGCCACGAGGGCGATGATGGTGTGCAAACGTCTAGCGGGTAAATCCTGGGGGTGCACTCCGAGGATCCTCAGATGGATGGACACCATGATAGTGAAACCAATAGTGACTTATGGTGCGGTGGCTTGGTATTCCAGGACTACTATGGGAACGGTGAGGCAGACTCTCTCCAAGATTCAACTTCTGGCATGTGTTTGCATTACGGGAGCAATGCGCACATGCCCGACGGCAGCGCTCGAGGTAATGCTGGAACTCGAGCCACTGCATCTCTCAATTGAACAGGCTGCAAAGCGAACCCTGCTTAACTTTGCGAGAGAGGGCTTCGGCAAAGGCAAGGTATTATCATCCAGGAACAGAGACAAGCTAGGTACCCAGCTCCCCCTGGCTTTGTTCCCCAGGGACGATATTAACAGAGAGGTGGTCTTCAAGAGAAATTTCAGGACCCTCACTTACAACAAGGCGACCTGGTGTTCCTCTATTATGGAGAGTCACATACAGGCGAGCACAATACAGTGGTACACTGACGGCCCTAAAACACCCGCGGGGGTTGGAGCAGGCGTGTACGGCCCTAGGTGAAGCTTTCGGTGCCCCTGGGAACTTTTCCTAGCATCTTTCAAGCGGAGGTCTATGCCATAAGTATGTGCGCTGAGATTAACATTCACAGGAACTATTGGAAGGAAAGGATACTTATACTAAGTAATAGCCAGGCGGCACTTAGGGCCCTCTCAGCATTCGAGATCAAGTCCTCCTTGGTTTGGGAGTGTGTCGAGAGGCTCAATGCTCTGGCGGAGGTCAATGATATCCAACTAATGTGGGTACCAGGGCACATGGGGGTTGCAGGAAACGAAGAAGCTGATTATCTGGCCAGAACGGCCGCTTCCTCGACCCCGATAGGACCTGAGCCCTTTCTGGCAGTAGGACCCAACACCATAAAGGAAATGCTCAGAAGGGACAACAGCAAACTGAGGGAACTGCACTGGCTTAGCACCATGGGCCAACCTCAGGCAAAAAGGAGGTTACAATCTGTCAAGATACAGGCTTCTCATGGATCTCCCAAAAGAGAAACTAAGAATTATTACAGGTTTTAAGACGGGCCATTGTATGCTCAGAGGGCACCTGCATAAACTAGGTATCTGGTCCAGCGACCTGTGTCGCTTTTGCGATGCAGCCAAGGAGACTCCTCTACACCTTCTTATGGAATGTGAGGCTGTTGCACGCAGGAGGCATAGGAGCATAGGGCACGTCTGGCCAAGAGAGGAGCACATACACCCGGGGTCCATTATGAAATTTATAGACACTCTGGGGCTGGTTGATGTGCTGTGATGAGCTAGGGGCACAATAGACCTACTGGTCGCAGTGCCATACCTAACAACTATCTATCTATCTAGAGAGAGACTTGGCTGTGGTCCATAGTTTGTTTACTCCGCTAGAGAGATTGCCGGTCTTGAGATGCTAATTCCATATTTTCCGATTGGGTCCGTGGGCCAGGTTTCTAATGTCCCTATTGAAATCTGTGGTATAGGTATCCCCTGGACTAGCCTGGTGGATTCGCTCACGCACGTCTGAGAGTCCCGCCGCTACTGTGGGAAAGCCTGGGCGGATGTAGCAATCTCTGCCGGCTGGTATGAAGCGGGCGTATGCCGGGTTAATGATCCTGCGGATATTGCGCCCGGCATTGGAAGCGGAAGAGCATGGAATTCGCGATCGGTAATTTCCGTGAAACCGTCCCAGTTTTCGGTTTGCAGTACGGTTTTTGGATGTTATAAAATCCCTCGCCTGGTCTATCGCGCCTACTATGGGAGCGCGGTCTGATGCGCCCCGCCGGCTATTGTTATTTCTGGCGAATTGTAGCAGTCACCCGCAACCCTGGTCGACGCATCACCATTCTCAGTGTAGAACGTGGAGTCATGGAACTATTTCTGCACGTTTTCTGCACGTTAGTCATTCGCAATCGTATGCTGCGAATGCCGCATTATACTAAAGCCAGCCTTTGGACATAAACTACTGTTCCATACGAACACAGATATGTATGATAGAAACTTTCCTTTACGTTATGTGCGCGGAGGGCGGAGCGGGAGGGGGCACGCTCCTCTTATACCCCAGTTTAGAGAGGTCATGAGCCGCCGTTTACAGAAATGCACTGCCTTACAAAAATGAGAAAAAATCTAGATTTACACTTGTTTTGAGTAGATACAGGCACTTTGAGCTTTCCGTATTACCGGAGAAGGGCCCCCCTCTTATACCATTTCCTTTTGCGGAGGCGGTCTTCAGCCGCGCCTAGGGATTAAACCCTTACTAAGTAGAATTCTCCTTTCTGTGTTGCCGGAAAAGAGGGGCGGCGGCCGTAAAGAAAAGCCGCCCCGAAACTTTTGAAAATTATTTATTGAAACAAACGATATTAGTATATCCATCAAAAAAAACTACAAAAAATTACTCCCTCACCTAGCCATATACGGGCTGTTTCGGTAATTATAGCGTAAAAATAAGTTACTCTCCCACAAGTGCCAAAAATGTGTCAACCCGTGCCAAAAGTGCCCAGAGCGTGAGGAACGCAAAAAACCACTATTCGTTATATAGCTAATAAAATTAGAAAATGCCTACATTTCTGAACCTTTAGTGCTATTTTACAAAATTTGCTATCGGATGTATACCGGAGTTGGGGGTAGTGCACTAAATTTTGAGTGCACTAGGCATTTCACTAGCAGTAAATATATTGGGTGATATTGGGGCGAATTCTAGTTTTCGTACGTATCGAAAATCATGAAATTTTGCTATCATTTTGTATTCATAAATTTAAAATTTTCGATTCGTACGAAAACAAGAACATCTTCTTATTTGGCACTACAACTGTTTGTCGGTTTGGGCCGAGACCAAAAAGCTTCTCCAATTGCTTCTCTCCTGCGCGAATTTGCGCCAGTTGGTTATCCCGAGCGCTGACAAGTCCTTCTGCACTTGGTTCTTCCATTGCGTTCGTGGGCGCCCTTGCTTTTGTTGTCCCCCCATGGGTGTGGAGTCGAAGGATCTTTTCACCAGAGAGTCGTCATCCATGCGTACAACATGTCCAAGCCAACGCAATCGCTGTATTTTATGCGCTTAACTATGACCATGTCGTTAAAAAGCTCATACAGTTCGTCATTCCATCTTCTCCGATATCCGCCATACACGAAAACTAAGCCTTCTCATCTTTGTTCGACATCGTCCAAGGTTCTGCGCCATATAAAAGGACGGACATGATGAGAGATTTGTAGAGCGTGAGTTACGTTCGTCGAGAGAGGGCTCTGTTTCTCAATTGCCTACCGAGCCCAACGTAGCACCTGTTGGCAAGAGTTATTCTTCGCTTGATTTCCAGGCTGACGTTGTTGGTGGTGTTTATGCTGGATCCTAGGTAGACAAAGCCCTTCACTACTTAAAAGTTATATCTGCCCTCTGGTGGAAGTTGTAAGAAAAAGGGAAATGCAGAAATGGATACCTCATAGCAAAAACCCCTACAGCATGTTTTTGTACAAAATTTAAGCAATTCTTTACGACTCTACAGCAAGGCGCTGTGAAACCTATTTTCGCAATTTGGCAAATTCCAGATTGATTTTAGAGCCATGGTTTCTTCGACAATGTTTCTTAGAATCACATGTAGGTATGTGCAATACGCGCATAGCCGAAAAAATCTCCCTTACAAACTGCCCCGCCTTAATATACCTACATATTTTATTTTCGCAATTTTAAAACTTCTAAAGACAAAAATAATTTACACAAACAGCGTTTTCATTCGTTTTCGCGTTTAAATTGATCAATTGGCTGACATTTCATTGGCTAATCTTAGTTTTGAACCAGCCAGCTCGGGTGTTGTTAAGCTTTTTCGCTTAATAAGTATATTTCTCTTTTTCGTTTAGATGTCAGTAACCATTTTACATATTTACTGCCCCTTTGTTAACGTTTGCCTATCGCAAATTTTACTATTTGCATTATCAAAGAATATAATGACTCAAAACACTTTTCATAATCTAGAGAATCTAAACATTTGAAAAAAGCATCGATGGTTGGAAATTGTTCTAATGTTTTCAAAATACACAGCTTCTAGAGTTCCCCACACGTTTATCTAACTTCTATCACTTTATTTTTCCCAAATTACTTTCTGTATAACTCATAAACTTGCTATTACAATTAATTTAAAGTGAATGAAGTTCCGCTGATATGGTTCATATGAACGGCGTTAATTTACCACAGAGAGCAGCGTTTTCTTATTTATCAATTACTAAAATTTCTTGCTTGGAATGGTATGCGAAAATCTCGTTTTTCGACAGAAAATCCCATTCGCCATTTTTAGTCACAAAATCCTGAAAAAGGGCGAAATCCCGTATACTGGCAACACTGGTTTATACCCAGGTGCAGTTCCCATGCTCTGGGAGGTTCCTGTGCCTGAAATGCCTGAAGCACACTAAAGTTCAGAAGTGACGATATGATCTATTGATGCCCAGACGCAAACTGAGTAAGTCTGCAAGAAATAAGTAGTTTCTTACAAAAGAAACTTAACGCACAAAACCATTGGGCGAATAAAAACAAAAAAATGCTTAAAACAATTTCATAAAAAATCTCTTTCGTTTTATTTACGTGGCTTCCTTTATGAGGTATTCGTTTATGTCTATATCGAGCCCTAACCGCCAAAATAACGTAAGCGACATTTTTTTCAAAATTTTATTTGTGATGCAGAAATATTCCGAGGGCATCTAAATGTATTTCTGCATCAAAAAGAAAATTTTGAAAAAAATGGCGCTTACGTTATTTTGGGGGTTAGGGCTCGATATGTATATGTACATGTAAGATGCGAATGCAGTTAAAATTCTTTGAAGATAATATTGAAGTAATTCTTAAAATTAGTATACGTACATACGTATGTATTTATGCATGATGCAGAAAATGAAGGTGGCGCCATTCGCGGGCCGCTTCGTCGATTTGACAGCATTCACCCATTCGCAGACGTCACACAATACTTTTGTTTAAAGTGTGTTTGCATTGTTCAACTTTGCGTTCAACATTTGCGTTCAACTCAGCGCAGGGTTGCACGAAAAAAAAGTTGAATGGCTAAAAATATCAAAATATGAAAAAATATCAAAATATTCGCCATAAAAAGGTGTTTGCATTGTTCAACTTTGCATTCAACTTTTGGTTGAATGGCCTTCCAACTAATCGCTTTCAACAAAGTTGGTCGCCAGCCAACATTTAGCCATTCAACTTTTTTTTCGTGCAACCCTGCGTTGAGTTGAACGCAATTGTTGAACGCAAAGTTGAATAATGCAAACACTGCTTAACATTCACTGTTGCCAACCTGGTGTTTTTCGCACTAAATTTAGTTATTCAAAACGCGAAAATTTTTGAGTTTGGTGTTTGGTGCGTTTTTGGCGCTTTTGTTTTTAGTTTGAAGACACCAAATTTGAAAATCTTAAACAAATTGAAGCCAAGTTTTTTAGCAAGGTTATAGAAACCTTACAAAAATTTAAACAAAATCGTGGCACAGTGACAATCATAATCGCGAACGTTCTTTGCTTTTCTCACCGCACTGCCTCTCTTGGCAACAAACAGGGCTCGAATCGTCACATACGATATCGTACAACTCGTCACGTAAAAACCCATTTTTCGAATTATGGCATACGTGAACGTACTCTGAGTCCCATTCAGCTTATACTGCCTGACGTATCACGTAATTTTCTTTCGTATCGTTTTCGATCAGTGAACGGATGTTACGATTCGAGCCCAGAGTTATTCTGGTGGCAGAAATGTTCCAGTGTGAAACCTACCAAAAGAATTAGGATATGAAAATTTCACCCTATTCATCTGTGACTGATTTCCCTTTATTTTTTGACATTTCGTTTGTTCACGACTTTTTCTTGCCGCAGTTTGATCAGCTCTTGACGTTTTTACATAATATTCCTCCTAAAGGGTCGGTCTTGAATTTCTTGGCAAATAAACCAACTTTTTGTGCTTTAATTTAAAAAATAATAATAATTTATTTATTTTTCAGCAGGCCGGAAGTTATACACAATGTCACTGACTCAAGTCGTACGTAGTTGCAGCCGCTTTGCTGCTGTTTCAAAGGCACTGCGTGCGACCGCCGCAGTCTCGTCCACTGCCCAGCCACAGCTGCGTATGATGCACAGGATTAGTGTCAACACACCTGCCATTAGCATTTTGCTTAATCAGGTGAGTAACTATACAACGCATAGAGATACAATTAATGATTTTGAAAAGTACTTTAAAAATGCGTTCAATAAATGCGTTGTCTTAACCTCAAAGTTAGAAAGGAATCGGTGATACAAATATGAAAAAAGACCTATTTCAAGAATTTAAAGATGTTGGACTACGTAATCGATCATAATAATTGTTATGTTTCTTGCAACAGTATAAAATTCCCCAAACAATCATAAAAGTCATATATAGTTGCATGATTTCGCTAGAATGTTGATAAAAATAAGAAACTGCTTTAAGCAAAGAAATTGCAACTTGTAAACTAAAGAAGTCATTCGATCTGATAAGTATATACATACTTATTTTTGTTTGCTAAAGTTGCAGAAGATTGTAACATGCAGATGTACATACAACCATGTAGTGTAAACGTTGATACATATAGTAATGGAACTATCATATTTATTGTATCATTCTTTAAGCATTCGTATTCTATACATATTCTATTCTACATTCAGAATGTTTACAAAGCAAAATCCTATGAGGTACGCACCTATGCATCAGCTAAACGCAGTTTGGAGGAAATACAGGATCGAGTTCTAAAAGTAGTCTCTAGCTATGATAAAGTGACCGCTGATAAGGTAATGGAAGCGTTTAAAGGAAAAACTAACATGTTTTTGTTTGTTCTTTTTCGTTCTTGTTTTCGGTTCATTAGAACAAATCTGTATGGCAATCACAATCGGTGCGAAGCTATTCTGCAAAGCCGCCACTTACTCTTAAATTGATCAACGAACGTGTGTTACTCGTATTGAAACTCTATGATAAGATTGATCCTAGCAAGGTAATAAAATATCGATAAAAAGCAGTGCAACACCTTGAAAACATTGACATTGTTGCTGCCAACATTATTTGATTGAACCGAAAACAAGTCTTTCAAACCTTTTATTAACTTCTATTCATTCAACAGCTCAGCGTGGACTCGCATTTCATTAATGATCTTGGTCTTGACTCGTTGGACCATGTTGAAGTAATCATGGCGAT